TAATAAAGATTTGATTAAATATGTAATATTTACAGTTCTCATGTTAGCGTATCTAAAAAATCTTACACAAATAAGTCGCGCGTTGTCCCCGTTGACACAGCTTAGGAGAGAAGATCCCCTCGGATTTGCAAGCAAAGGAGATTAATTACCCCGTGTGCGACCCCCCCCCCCCAGCCAGGCCTTTCCTCCACCCTCTACCCACCTCTTCCCTTCCTCAGCTCATCCCCCTTTACTCCCCAGACACTCCCTTCCTCCCTGTAACCCCTTCTTCCTAAGCTCCCACTCCCTACCTCCCTCCTCCATGCTCCCCATCCCTCCCCGAACTCTTTCCTCCTTCCTCCACCTCTCCCTCCCACTTCAGCCCCTCCTCCCTCTCTCTTACCCCGTGTTCCCAAGCACACCCGGGGCTTCACGAGTCACGACCAAAGCCTTCGAAAATAAGAGTTGCATCTTCCAAGGCAAGTGAAGCCATACTTCATAGTCCGGACCTCAGCACGACTCAAGCCAGCGCGTGGCCTCAAGCACTGCTGGAGGGACCTTGGTTCGTTCCCCCTTTTGCATGCCGCTATTTTTCAGTATCAGATCAAACAGTTACCATTATATTTGTAAAGTGAGACATCATTTGATTAGGTAATTTAGATTATCTTAAAAAATATACGTTTATTAATATTCAACTTGCGAGAAATGCCTCTAAACTGCCAAATATGATTTTTTCATATTTTTTTGTATCTCTTGGATTCAACAATGGTCAATATTATCATGTTTGTTTTTATTAGATATTTCATAATGATTAGTGATGATGGTATTAATGATATTGAAAATATTAGCGACAGTATCACTATTGATCGATGTTCATGATATAGAATCAGCTGTTTGGTAATAGAATATTTGCAATAATAACAGATTCGATTAAGAAAACATTAAAAATGAAGGCAAAGTTACAGTAGTAAGAACGGGGCTGATTGTGATGTGATATTCATTATTAAGCTGATAACTGTTATCCGTAACAAAGTGAATTACGAACTTCCTCACCATCATATATCATCCTGACATAAAAGCAGAAGGACAAGAACGCAAGTCCTTAATGTTAAAATCCAAAACAAAAGTGCGTAGAAAAAACTCCTTCCGACTTACTTACCCATATCCTCAAACTGGACGACCCTGATGGAAAGGTGGGACTTGAAAGCATAATTCTGCGGCGGCTGCACGATCCACACGCAGTCGTATGTTGTGAAGTTGCTGTCGTTCTTGGCCATATTCATCATAGTTATAGTACCGCCGAAGTTAGTGACGTATCCACCACAATCTGTTGTGGGAAGAAATGGGAACATGGGAAAAGATTTTAGCATGTTGATCAGTATGATTGTCTGTGTGTGTGTGTGTGTGTGTGCATGTGTGTGTGTGTGTGTGTGTGTGTATATATGTGTGTGTATGTGTGTGTGTGTGTGTGTGTGTGTGTGTGTGTGTGTGTGTGTGTGTGTATGTGTGTGTTTATTTTTTAACTGTTAGAGAATCTGCTCTATTTTTTCTTGAGCAGAGCTACAATCTTTCTGCTACGGAGTTGCATAAAATACAGTGATAACTTCTACATCTAACAGCGTCACTAAATCTATCAAGGCAGGACCATTTTACAGTAGTAGGATCAGCCAGGCGTCTTTCTTTCCGAACGCGACTCGAAGGCCAAATTGCTAAGCTTGTGCAATCATTGTTTGGATTAATTGGCAAACTAATTACAAGGCCAGCCTCTACGACCGATAATCGTCAACCATAAAACGTAGCTACCCATCATAAGAATAAGTTGTCTCTTCTAGGCCTAACCTAAGACTAAGCATGAAGCCGTATGTGTCAA